TTCTCTCTGATCTTTTTCTGTCTGACATTGTAATTGCTCAAGAATGCATCTCGCTAAATTTTAACTTTTTCATAAAAAGAAAAAAAAAACATGGATAACATTGTACGCAACCACTGACCATTTAATATGTTGCCGTTAAATAGAATGTGCAACCCATTTTGATGGTGGAGAACTGCATATTAACTCCACCCACCAGTTAAACAAATTACTGTCACCAGTTCATGAAAGGACACATCAATAACAGTTCTCTCCCTTGAAAATGGAAGCCCGGGGAAAATAGGTGCAAAATACGTGAAAATTATAGAGTATCTATAAAAAAGATAACGGACAAAGAATTGCTTATAAGGGGCGGGCAGTTAATTTTTTTTTTCCTTCAAAGTAGTAATAAGACCTTTTATTAAAAAGAATGAAAGATGTGTCGACTTCAAAAGAAAAGGAAAGATGCTAAACCAGGTAGCTGTTTTTTTTTTTTTTTTTATTAACACTTTCGCTGTTGTATCAGGTCATCCCATAAGTTCTGTCCGAATTTTAACTTTTTGTTAAAATGAACGAAATTTAAAGAGCATTTTATAATGTCTAATGGAGCTGAACATTATTTTTATGTTTAGATGCATTTAAACTGATCAAATCTTATTTCAGAGAACAATAAAATTAGATTTTGTTTGATTAAAACCCTGCTAACATGGAAATACCCAAGAATCATTTGAGGCACATAATGCTTTATGAGTTCAAGAAAGGAAACTCAGCAGCCGAAGCAGCTAGAAACATTTACTCAGTTTATGGAGAGGAATGTGTGAATAAAAGAACTTGCAAAAGATGGTTTGCAAAATTCAGAGGTGGAGATTTCACCCTTGAAGATGAAGATCGAACCGGACATCCAGTTGAGTTTGATGAAAAGCTTCTTGAAGCAGCCCTTGAAGAAAATCCTGCTTTATCAGTTGAGGAATTGGCAGTGGTTCTCAGTTCAAACCATACAACTGTTCATCGTCATCTTCAACAAATTGGAAAAGTTCCTAAACTTGGAAAATGTTTCTTCATGAATTGTCTGTAAACAACCTCAAATCCTGATTTGACATCTGCTCTTCTCTCCATTCTCGCCAACTTGTTTCACCTTTTTTTGGATAGACTTGTGACTGGCGAAGAAAAATGGATCTTTTATCGAAATGTTAAGCGTCGTAGACAGTGGCTTGGTAAAGTGGAAGGACCCCAGTCACAGCCGAGAAGGGAACTTCATAGGCAAAAGGTTCTTCTTTCAAACTGGTGGGATCGCCAAGGAATAATCCACTTTGAATTCTTACCACCTAATGCAACAATTAATGCTCAAATATACTGTCAGCAATTAGAGCGTTTGAACCAAGCTTTGAGGGGAAAAAAAGACCTGCTCTAGTGAATCGAAAAGAGGTGATGTTTCATCAGGACAATGCGCGACACCACACAGCAAGAATCACCTTACAATAGATCGAAGAACTTGGTTGGGAGAAAATTCCTCATCCACCTTATTCTCCTGATCTTGCTCCTTCAGAGTTTATTTGTTTCGTAGCTTACAGAATCATTTGGAAGAAACAGCTTTTGTAACACAGGAAGAGGTTAAAACTGACATTTGTGAGTTCTTCGAATCAAAGCCAAAAGAATTTTACAGTAATGGAATTAGTAAGCTTGTTAATAGATGGAAGGAAGTCATAGATAATCAGAGAAAATACATTGTTGATTGAATCTGTAATTAAATGTAATATTTTGTCATTTGTTTTCTTTATTCAAAATTCGGACAGAACTTATCTCTTCTTGCGGCCTCAGCCGAGATTGAACTCACCAATACTTTGATTGGTGTAGTTCGTAATCTTGTCAAATAGCTGAATTCTTGATGCTTCGCTCAGGCTATCAAGGGTGTTTTTATCGTGACACCATCACTAAATGGATTGCCAACCAAGGCTCAGAGAGACTCCATTCACCCTCATCTAAGAGCAGGTTCAGAAATCTATTTAAATGTCTTTCTTCATCTTCTCTGTACCGTGTCCCTTCGGAACTGTTGTAATGTGGAATGGACTCCCGAGGAAATGCTTTCCTGATCACTACGGTAACCATTTACATAGAGTGGCACTTAGGATTTGTATTGAGTGAGAAATAGTAAAAAAAATAAACTGAGGTGAGTCATAATCGTGGACATGGAATTAAAATAAAATAATTGATGATTGACATTCAGTTTCAGTCTTTCTAAGAAAAAACTTTCCTAGAAAACAAGGAAAATATTCTTATGGAATTGGTATATGCAAACCACCACTAAATTCACTGCAAGACGAGCTTCTCCCAGTAGTGTTCCAGAAAGTATCAGACTGCACCTACCATTCTTTATCGCTAAAAGAGCCAAATCTGTCCAAAAATAGAATACTTCTGTCACATCTGGACTACAGTTACTCAATCCATTTTCCAGCCTCGACAACAAATTCAAAATTGTTTGCATGGCCTTGTTTGTGATGAATTATTATTCACCTTTCAACACATGTTCCTCAAATAGAACGTTGCTAGCCTTTCACTGCTCTGCCATTATTTTCATGGCAAATGTTTAGGCGATCTACATTCTTTGGTCCCACCAGTCTAGATCATCACAGCTACGGACCGAGTCGACTCCATTTCGTCCCCAAATCCGTCCCCAGAACTGTTGCAATGTAGAATGGACTCCCGAGGGAAGGCTTTCCTGATTACTACAATATTAATGTCTTCAAGTCAACGATCAATCATTATCTTACCTACATATAGAGGAGGCACGGTGGAGTAATGGATAGCGGCTTGGATTGAGGAATCGGAGAGCCGAGTTCAAATTCCAGTCGAATCCATCACATTCACTAATACCCTTGGGAAAGGTGTGAATCCTCTTCTTCTCCCTCCAGCTATGGGTAAATAGCAGAACAGACTGGGTTCTATAGCATTGGATGGCAACTGGTCTAGAAGGAAAACTCTGAATTCAAAACCTGCGGAGGGACATTTGGGGACCTTGTGACACGTAGTGCACCAGGTCTCTGTAATCGGCCCTTCAAAAAGTGTGGACGGTCCTGCATGAAAACTTCACCACTATAATCAAATCTCATGTGCTATACATGCGGGTTGGGGACCGCTTATGAATTCCAAATTCCCATGAAACTCCAATATTGGAGCCGGCTCAACCCACCCCGGGTGAATGCTGTTACAGGTACAGGAACAGGTTAACTACATATCCTCATAACCTTAGCACTCTCCCTCTATGTCCTTACAACATCTCCGTTCAGTAACCATCTACATTGAGTGGCTGTTGGGACTTGAATTCTGTGAGTAATAGTAAAAAAACAAACTTTGATTTGCTCTCTGGTAAGGCTTGCCAGTATGTTCGTGCAGTGTTACAATTTTCGTACGCTTCCTTGGAGTAATGTCCATCGCAGGCAATGGTCGTAGGACAACTAATCGACAGTCAAGACAATAGTGTCCTTATCACATCTCCGTTCAGTAACCATCTACACTGAGTGGCAATTAGGACATGTATTGTGTGTGTGATATTAAAAATAAACTAAGGAGTAAGTTGACGAAAGTCATGATCATAGATATGGAAATTAATATAAAACAATTGATTAACATTCAGCTTCAATCTTTGCTAACAACAAGGAAAATATTCCACGAATTATCGTATTTTAATCAGCCTAATGATCCATACACCAATATGCAAATTAATTAAAACACGACGAATAATTCCGTTATTATTTACTTTCTTTTCGCATTTTTTCCAATGAAACATGACCTAATACAAACGTTAGTACTTCGTATGTACATTCCACAAATGTCCGCCTGGTTATAAAGTCGGTCCGTGCAGACTTCTCGGTTGGATTTAAATCAAGAGGTTTCCGGGCCATTCTTTAGTACTTTGATTTGCTCACTGGTAAGACTTGCCAGTGTGTTCGTGCAGCGATACAAGATATGAAGATGTCATTGTGCTGATAGCAGACACAGAAAAGAAACTAAAAGAACTCCTACGAAAGGTAGAAGAAAAAAAACACAAGAAAGGACGAGACATTAAAAGCAAAAAGAATATCTGGCGATCAGTAAAAATGAACAGTGAAATATGCCGCCTAAAAGCTAAGCAAAGTATTAAGAAGCAGAAAAATTCTTTAGAAACAAAGAAAAAAGTACTGAACTATTACGTAATACCAGTCCTCCCAAATGCCAATGAATGATGGACAATCTACTGACAGATAAAAAAAACTTGAGGTACCAGAGATGTGCTTTTACTTCGATAGCAAGAAAACAGAATGTATGATTAGCAGTAAAATGAACAGCCTAACATGCAGTTTAGGACGTGCTGATACAAAAATCAAAACAAGTACAATTTAAATATCTGTGAAGGTGTTTTCACAAAGGAAGGAAAGTGCGATATTGAAAGCCGAAGGAACATTAGATTAGCAAAACTTGCAAACTATAAAGAAAAAAATTGGAGGGGTATTCAGACGGTACTAACAGAGGGTTAAAAATAGAAATTTGATAAGACATGACTAAATTTATGTTAGTTAAAAGTTTACAGGGATCTACAAAGAGACGCTGAAGAGAGAAGCTCACATGATCTTTTCAAAAGAAGTGGCCATGACACAGAAATATTTACATTTAACAAGTGGAACTATTCAGTCAAAAGAAATTGTTTTTGTCATGCAATCTATGGGATGCCAGTGGGACCATCCGGTTACACCCCTCCCGTTCTTGTCTGTCTTATTTAATATTTTAGTCATTTCATTATACCCATATATTATTTCTATTTTCGTTTTTTTTTCTTTCAGATGTCAATGAATGCGCCATCAATAATGGAGGTTGTGAACATGGCTGCTCAAATACAATCGGGTCATATTATTGCAAATGTCCGCCTGGTTATCAAGTTGGACCAGATGGAAAAGGATGCCAAGGTAAGCAGAGAATTGTTATATATATATATATATATATATATATATATATATATATATATATATATATATATATATACCTACTTTGGA